AGGGCACTGGGCTCCCACATGGCTGACTGCAGTTTGAGTCCTGAACCTGGTGACTTGCTTTCTCACTTTTCCTCTCTCTTTCTCTCTCTCTCTCTGTCCTTTCTGGTCAAAATAAAATAAATAAGTAAGTAAATAAATAAAATGATTCTTTAAAAAAAGTTCAAATCCCAAAGCATGCAATAACAGGGCAATTAGAGCAAACAAAGAAAAGATTACAAGAGAAGAAAATCCTTTGGGAAGTGGAATTTTGCTTTAGCGAGCATTCTTAATACCTGAATATTTACATATGCATTGTATATTAAGTAATCTTGAATCCCTGACTTGGAAAAACAAAATAATGCCTATGGTTGACTCTCAGACATAGAAGAGTATAAAACAGAATTTAGCAATAAATTTCCACAACAGAGCCACTGGATGTCCACACATGGCAGAGAGAGATTGATAGAGAGCCACCTTCTGCCATTCTATATGTGATATGGATGGACAGACGCCAAAGTAGTTTGAGATCATGGGATGCCCCCCACTTCTGAGCTGCTTAGGCCTCAGTTCATAATAGCCTTTTTTAGTATGAGATCATTTCGTGACCCCAAGGAGGCAGATTCTCATGCGTTAGAGTAGCTTAGGAAGTTCCTCTTGGCTATGATTTTCTCCTGACTTGATTTGATTCAAATATTGGGAGATTGTTGCTAGAACTCGGTTTGATTATTCTCTTAATTGCTGAGGAAGAAACCAAAGAGAACCTTTAGCACGTTTGGCTATTGAGTAACGAAGTTGAATGGATGAAGGGAGAATAAAAACAGTAGTAGTAATAGCAACTGTAATGTACAGTACATCATTGTAAATTACCTGTTTCCGTTTCTTGAGCTCAGTACTCGACCACGCATCTCGGGATAAGTCTGTAAGGTGTACGTCATTGTCTTCATCTGACAGAGCAGGACCTAGTGATAGCATTGAAGATAGTACAGTTTCTTGTGAGTGGCAGAGCCAAGATTTAGGCTACTTTGCTCACCTTTGTAGACTGTCCTTCAGCCACTGGGCTGCTCTGTGCATGCAGCACGTGTATCTAGGTTCAGCTTGCTGGGCTTGTACCAGAATCTTTGGTTCACGTGATACTTGATTTAACTTTTCTTGTTATGTGAAAACTACAAGTGGACCCTTTATGAAGGGCACACATCTTGGAGTTTTCAAATGCTAGAAGGTCCTGAGGAATCCCTGGGACCAGTATCTACATAATTCTAGAAGGAAGGGAAACACACATAGCTGGAGCCCAATCTGGGTTTCACACGCCATGGTGTCAGCGCATTGTCAGGCTTTCGAACGAACTTCAGGCCTGGTGGCTGCAGCCCACAGTGCAGCTGGTCAGAGTGCCTCCACTTCTGCCTGATAGTAGTCAGGACGTGGGTGCTCTCAGGAGGACTGTCCTGGGCAGCCCTAGCAGGACTTTGTAGGGCTGAGAGATCAGATCCGCGATTGTCACAACCATGCTTGGCTGTTGGTAGTCCGATGTTCTTGCTAGGTGATACATTGTTTTCAAAGAGAGAACTGTGGAATTTGTACTGTTACTATCAGTAGAAGAAATGCTTTGGTTTTCCAAGAGTTTTTTCAGGTGATTCCCTTTAGAACAGTGGGTTTGGTTCCAATGAAGTAAGGTGTGTATAAAATGTTTCAGCAGCAACTGGATTGGAATAAAGTAGATCATAATGACTGCTTTTTTTTGTTATTTATTTAATAAAGTTTACTAAGGGTTTTTTAAAATCATCAGTAAGGTACTGTGTGTCTTGGGAGTGCGTACAATGGTGCAGTGCCAAAATGCAACACTGCCAGGCTCACCCACATGGACTGGCCCTCCAGGTTTGCATCCAGAGGCCTCCCTGAATACCCCAGGCACGCGTGTGCCCGTGGTCCAGGGCCCCCTGGGGTTGAGGGTGGGACACAGCATCACGTCTCTGTTTGGGATACATTCTCTCTCTCTGTGCATTCTTTCTCTCTCTCTCTCTCTCTCTCTCTCTCTCTTTCTCCGTACACGATCTCTCACTCATGGAAGAAATAAACTTAAGAAAAAAAAAAAAAAAAAAGCTAAACATTTTATAAAAAATTCAACCTTCTCAAATAGACCTTAGAAAATAAGCTATGTTTTCTTTTTCCCCTCTCCCTGCCTCCTCCTTTTCCTTTTTGATTTAACTCAAAGATAAAATTGTATGTATTTATCATATATAACATGGTGTTTTGAAGTTTGTGTGTATATATATATATAGAGAGAGAAAATTTAGTAGAATGACTAAATCTAGCTAATTAACATAAATTACACTTTATTTTTATGGCTCCATACTGAACCTTAACTACTGAAATGGATATACTTGAAGTTATAGCTATCTTCGCGTAATTTGGAAAGCTTAGTGGTCTGTCTGTTTTTGTTTGTTTTTTGTTTTTTCATTTTTCTGATATTTTTTAAAAAATGCAGCCTTTTGGATTTCTCAGATTCACATGGCAGGAAATGTTGATTTTATCATTTAGACTTCACAGTGAAGCTGTATCAAGTAGTGTTTCATGTTACCAAGTTAAAATTGCTCATTGAGAGTTTAGCACAGGTACATAGTGGTAAGGAGAGAATAACTAGAGGGGGGATGCCACCAGTTACATTTCCTTCTCCCCCTTTCCTCTTAAGGAGAAATTATTCAAAACTCAGACATTCAGGGTGACGGTCTGGCAGTCATCTGTCACACTTAGACTGAGTGAATACAGTCAGGACGACGGTCTGGCAGTCATCGGTCACCCTTAGACTGAGTGAATGCAGTCCGGGTGACGGTCTTTCAGCTGTGGGTCATCCTTAGATGAGTGAATGCAGTCAGGGCCCACATGAAATGAAGACGGTCGTACTTGGAGCCACTTCATTTTGAGATTTGTAGCTCTGGTGGAAAAGGAGGAAAAAGCCCTATACCTTGCTGCATCCCCACTGAATGGCAGGTTTGAGGCCACATGCAGAGTAGCTTAGGACATTTCTTCTCCATAGTCTTGGCTCCTTCTTGCCTTTATTAATGTTAGTTATTACGTGTTTCACTCAGTACTTTATTCTGGAATATTTTTATACTAATAGTATGCTTTCAGATTGTGTTGATGTGGCTAATAAGGATTTTGAAACTATATTGCATATTAGTATATTTAGAAATATTATCGCACAACAATTCCTTGGAAGCTTTAGGTATGCTAAATGATGGTTTTAAAAATAAAATATGAGAGGGCCAGCCTAATTCTCTAATGCTTAAAGAAACTGGGTCCCATACAGCTGACCACAGTTTGAATCCCAGACCCAGAGACTTGAGAAACACTGGTCATGTGTGTATGCATGCCCTAAATCCTAACAGGGTGGAGAAATGGAGCAGAAGGGATTGTGGCATGATTATGCCCCACTGGGACGGGTGTATGCTTCCTCCTCTCTTTCTCTCTGGCTTTCTAATTCTGGTTAGCACACGTATCCTCGGGCAGTTTGGAAAAAAAAATGTGAGGGCCAGCCCATAGCCACCCTAGTGGTTAAGGGAGCCAGATCCCACATGGCAGACCGTGTTTTGAATCATGTCCCTCAGGCCAGCAGGTGGAGTAGTGGTTACATCACTGGGCTCCCACATGGCCGACTGTGGTTCAAGTCCTGGACCCAGTGGCTAGAAAATCACGCCAGATACATGTGCATACATGCCCAAAATCCTGAGAGAATGGAGGAGAAGGGATTGCAGTGTGATCACCCCTGGGGGATGGTTTCTCACTTTCTCTCTCACTGTCTCTCTCTTTCTCTCTGACAAGTGCACATGCCCTCTGACAAATCGCAAACGCAGAATGCCCTAAGGCAAAAGCTTTTTAAAAAAAAAAAAAAAAGAATCATGTCTCCAGTGGCTTGTGAAGCACGCAGGACACTTACACATGCATATCCCAAATCCAGACAGGACGGAGAAATGGAGGAAAAGGGAGTGTGGAGTATGACCACATCTCATTGGATGTGCACACATGCATGCTCCTCTCTCTCCCTGCCTCTCTCTCTGGCAAATGTAACCTTTGGCAATAAAAGGGAAAAAATCAAATAAAAATAAATATGAGGCCAGCCTGTGGCATAGTGGTTAAGGCAGATGGATCTCACATGGCCAACTGTGCAATTCAAGTTCTGGACCCAGCGGCTTGAGAAATACACTGGGTGCAGAGCATGTGTGCCCAAAATTACAGACGGAAGAAGAGAGAGATGGAGGAAATGGCATGGCCGTCCTCCATGGTGCTCACTCTCACTCTCACTTCCTGTTTTCTCTCGCTCTCTCCCTCTACCTCCCTCCCTCCCTCCTCTCTCTCTCTCTCTCTCTCTGGCAAGCCCTCCTGACCTCTAATAGAATTTTTTAAAAGTCGCGAGATTACCTGAGAAGAATTAATGTGCATTGTAAGTGCCCGGGGGAAGGGAAGCTAGCCACATGCCATCCCCAGCTTTACCGAGTGAGGCGCTGTGCTGTGCTGCCGCAGGACCAGGGTTCCTGAGCTCGCCGAGAGGCTTTGGTAGGATGGCAGGGTTTTCAGATAAATTAGAATTGTGCTCCAAAAGCTGCCTCCAAAGTTTGAAGGTGAAAAAATAATCGTGATCTGCATACTTTAACAAATCAAACATTTTGGGTGTCTGTTAATCGGCTTTACAAACATTATTTTCTTTAATTCCAGGGTAATCATTTAAGCACAGCTGTCTAAAGTAATAGCAACTACATTTATTTCCCTCTGTCTCACTACTTAGATTGAGATAAGATACAATAATTTATTTGAGTTATTTTAACAGCTTACCATCCAGTATGTTTGCATATGCATTTTAGTAGTGTATCAGATGTCAGGTTGACAAAGCAGGACAGTTCCGGATTCAGCTCAGGGTTTAGGGAGTCTGAACCAAGGCTACACAGACGATGTATTTTAGAGCAGGACTACATGGCCTTATGGATTCAGACTGAAACTAGTGTAAAAGCTGCTGGAGGTTTTTTTCCCCTCTCTAGAGGGCATGCATCCTTACCAGAAACAGGAGGGAGAGGAGTGAGCAGTCCTCATGGGGAAAGGTCTCACCACAATCTCTTTTCCAACCTCTCTCCCTCCTTTTGGGGTCTTGGGCACACACACACACACACGTGCACGGCATGTTTCTCAAACCATTAGGTCTGGGACTTAAACCACACAGTTGACCGGGTGATCTGGTTACCTTAACCACCAAGCCGCTGATCTGTCTATAGATTGTGTTTCTTCGTTACCTCATCAGCTGGTCCAAACACTTGACTTGATTGCTTTGCTCACCATAAAAGGGACACGATAAGGAAGAAGTCCTGTTAAGTGCTACTGAAATGGCAAGACTATTGAATAATTGTAAATTAACAACATGACCACATCTGAAAGAGTAACTCGAGTATTTCGCTTTTTGAATAGTAGACTTTTGACTTATAGGATATCATAATATTTAGTCAGGAGGAGAGCCAGAATTTCAGGTGTAGAAGGAACAGGTAGTGTAGTTTGTCTTGACTTGTCAAAGCGTAGTCAGTATTACTTTACTACTTCATAACAAATACAGAAAGTCTGTTTTATAGTGTACACTGTATGCCTTTTAAACTCAGTACAGGGCCTCACAGGCTGTAAGCATGCCGCAAATATTTATTTTCCGAAGTTAAGAATGAATAAACAAATGATAAAAAGGAATAAATAACAAATAAAAGAAGAAAGAGTATACAGCTTAGCAAAGTCTTTGCATCTTGGTGTGTTCCGAAGGTAGACTTTATTTTCTGCTGGTTGGAGGTTCTCATGTGGTGGTTGGTAAACTTGACAGGACTGGGAGTCACTAGTCTGACAAGTTCGCCTCTAAGTTTAGTGTTTTTTTTTTTTCTTTCTTTCTTTCATTGGTGCATGGGGATAATGATACTCTCTACCTTTTTTATCCACTTGAGTAGTAATGGGATAGAAAAGAGAGAATATTGGGTTGTGGGGAAAGTCATGAAGTGTTTTTGCATAGAAAAATAGGCATGATTGTTCTGATGAGCTAAAAATTGTGAAAGTTTGAAGTCCTATACAATATAAAGTCCTGTCTTTTTTGTTTAATCATTATTTACAGGTTGCCTAAATTGTATCTTTGTGAATTCTGTCTAAAATATATGAAAAGTAGAACTATTCTACAGCAGCACATGAAGAAATGTGGTTGGTTCCATCCTCCTGCCAATGAGATTTACCGAAAAAATAATATTTCTGTCTTTGAGGTAAGCTCAATATTTACTAGTTGTCTCCCTGTCCGTTTCAAAAGCAAAGCCACCTGTCCTGCATCTGATTATGCAACTTTTTGGGGGGACTGTCGTTTTACTGTCACTCACTCACTTCTGAGCCAGGTAGTCCCGCTGTGCGAGAAGCAGCAGTAGCCAGTGGAGATGGTCCCACGCCCTCAAGTTCCTCTGGCATTTCACTGACTCAGAGATAGCTGTTGAAATATACCTTACTACTTTATGTACCGCTAAAAAGGAAAAAGCGCTGCTAACTGTAATTTTTAAGACTTCATTTGATTATAAATGTCAACCAATTTTTGCATGCGTAAGTATGATAAAAGTATATCTTAGAATGTATGAGATTTGTTGTTTAGATGAAAAGATTTCTATTACTTACTTAAAAGGCATATCTCCTGATAGATATGTTTGTCTATACCTCTATAGTAGCTGTCGTACTGTCTATATTTATCTATGTATCTTGATGTATCCCAAAACATATAGTTATAAACCTCAAATATATACAATAACGTTTTTGAAAAAGGAACATTTCTTAGGGATGTGTTTTATAACAGTAAATGTTAATATGATGATATGATTTAATTTATGCTAGGTGATTATGTAATTCTGTGTTGCTATTAGTAGTGGTATTTAATTTCTTGATCCTCAGTTCTGTGGTTTAAGTGTCAGGTGTTAAATGAGCACTTGCTGTGTGCTCAGTACTGTTCATTAGTGTAACAGTAGAATCCTAAAATAGCAGGGTCCATTCAGTCTCTCATTTCCTTGGTCTTCCCTAAGACTTTATTTTGGTGGTCAGTAAAGAAGCTCTTCATGGGGTTGGGTGGACTGTTCTGTTTCAGAATACCCCAAAGCTAATGTTCCTCAACTTAAGCTTATATTGATGTGTATTTTAAAAGAAATAATATCAGATAACTTAGATGGTGAGGGGTGTAGTTAGTATGCCAGACAGTGCCTTGGGAGCTAATGTGGCCGTCACTGGCTTGGTGAAAGCTCTGGGCCTAAAGGTTGTGGCACATACCGGGCCCTTGGCAGACACACTGCTACCTGGCAGACTGGGACCCCGTGGGAGCCCAGATTCTGTTCTCGGCACACGCTAAAGAGCCGGGTGTGGTAGTGCACCCCTGTGGGCCCAGCCCCTTGGGAGACCAAGACAGGACAACTGTGGCACAGCAAGGCCCTGTGTAAGACACTGCATGCGAGTGAGCACGCGCACACACACACACACACTCACACATGCTCTCACACGCTCACACACATGCTCTCTCACACACGCTCACATACACACTCACACACATGCTCGTGCACACACACACTCTCACACACGGCGTAAAAGAGCAAGCTCAGCAACCCCAAGGTCACAGGGCTGCCCGGCGGTAGAGCGCAGTGCTCCCACCTTGGCCAGCCTCAGTCCCGTTTGCCAGTTGCTGCCTGGGGATCCCGCGTGCTGCCTCCCGTTGACCACAGTTAATGCACCCTCGGGCAGTGTTGTTTGGGGTAGTCCTGACCAGGGTCCTTACACCGCATTGCTCAGGCCCTGACAGAGATTAGGCTATATTTATACCTTGTTTACCTGATAAATATATTTCAGAAGAGGTTGCATTTAGATCTTTTGTTGAATTAATACTTATGAAAATTATTGTCTGAAGAATTCCTGAGATTAATCTTTTTATAAAAGCAAAAATAAACCACTGTTTTAAAATCAGACTGTCACTTCCCCATCTAGCTGTTTTTGTTTTGTTAAAATAGAGTACTTTACATACTGTAGTTAGTCGTCTGAAAACATCAGGCACCATTTCAAAGCACAGCTTTCCAGTCCTGGTGTGTTCTGGTCACTGACAGCTTCTCTCAGGCTGCACTGGGGGTACCTAGAGACGCTTGTACCGACATACCTTGTTCTAGAACTGATGAGACGTGTGCTGACCATTTGGTTCTGGTTTTTTCCCCTCTAGGTTGATGGGAACGTGAGTACCATTTATTGTCAAAACCTGTGTCTCTTGGCAAAGTTGTTTCTCGACCACAAAACACTCTATTATGACGTGGAGCCATTTCTTTTTTATGTACTAACACAGAATGATGTCAAGGGCTGCCACCTTGTTGGCTACTTTTCTAAAGTAAGTATGTCACCTTGAAGTTTGTTTGAACTCACATGGAAATCTGAAACAATCTTGCTAGTCCTTGCTAGCGACACTACAGAATGCAACACTTTCTAGGTGTTGTCCATAGTACCTTTTCGGAAAGGAAAATAGAACATTCAGGAACTAGCGACTGCTGGAAGGTGCCTAGTAACGTTCAACAGACTATACTCTCTGAGGAGTATGACCTGCTAGGAATACTCAAGGGGAGAAGTTTTACAGTGACTTCTGTTCCCATGGCTATCGTAGATGGAACTCGTGAAATAAACACCGTCATTACCTTCTGAGTTCTTTCTCGGTTTAAGTCTTCTGTTCCTAATTTGAATTTTAGGGGTAGAAATAAAAGTAAGAAGCCATTTTTATTAAAATGTATTTTCTCCTTCCTTAATCTTTCATTCCCTTAGAGAAGAAAAAGATGTTGACTCAACATAAAACTTACACTTTTATTTAAACAAGCCTACAGTAAAATCTAAGTTTATCAAACAGTCTAGTGGGAAGTTCTAGCTTTATAAGAGTTCTTTAAGTAGGCTACCTCATTGGCGAAATGTGATTTCAAGTATGTTGACTAATTTACAAAAATGTGTTATAAAAAGTCTATCAAGACTGGGGAGTGGGTTTGTCCTTGTCGCCTGGAGCTGGAGATAGAGGACACTGAGCTAGCTGATGCGTCCCCCTCTAGATAGGTGCCCCGTGATTCATCACCCGTAGCTTCTCAGAGTGTTTGGAACTCAGATTCCTCCGCTGACCTGAGGCGCTGACATACTGGTTCTGAGTAACAGGTGGTGTTGGGTGGCACCATTTTATTCTGTATTTTCGCTCTCTTGGGAGGTTGCTTTGTGAGTAAGCGTGGTGGCTTAACATTGTTCTCTCTTCTCCCAGGGAGTATTTTTTCTTGATGCACGTTTGTATTCTCAAAGGACTAGGGCTGTGGTTTTGGCTGTTATTTTTGTTTCTTAATAATTAGCATTATTATTCAGTTTTACCAGCCTGGTGTGTTAAACCTTGCCTTCTGTTTTCTCCACCAGGAGAAGCACTGCCAGCAGAAATACAATGTTTCCTGTATAATGATTCTTCCCCAGTACCAGCGTAAGGGCTATGGCAGGTTTCTCATCGATTTCAGTAAGGATTATATTAATGTAACTTCTCGTCACCTCTTCCTGTGCACCAGCTATCTGTGCGTGTGCCGTGTGTGTGTGTATGTGCGCATATTTAAGGATTTGAAGATGACATGTTGGATGCCAATATCTTTTGTCATACCGTTGTATAGGTCTTTAAAGTCTAAAGCTACATGTTCTTTTTCTTCTGGTTAAACATAAAATATTTTTAAATAGCTAAAATGGAATACAGTTTTGTGTGATCTATAGCAATACCTGCAATTTGTATCTGTTCCTTTACAGTGGAACTTAGTTTTATGTGGCAGTATTAACTCACAATAATACTAAAAACATTGCAGAACTACTTAAATTAGCATCAATAAAGAAGTACACCACCTGCCCTCTTTTTGTCATGCAACTCTCTGAGGAAAATACACACATTTTTTAGGTCTGCCTAGTGGTTAAAAATATGCAACACGCCTTTAAAAAGTGTTTAAAGTGAATGATACAGGAAATAATTTAATCCGAGTTTAAAAGTTTAAAGCTAACAGTTCTGATGAGGTCAGTGTAGAACTTGCATTTGTTTTACACATTGATTAATCTTGCTTAGAAAGTTAAATGTGTTTGCAATACGTTTTATAATGATTATGAAATAGTGATTTGAGGGAGTATCTTCCCTCAGTTATTGCTGTAAAACATTTAAAGAATGCATGCAGAAATAATGATGCAGAAACTAAGGATTTTGTTCTAGTCTTGAGAAGTTAATTTCCACCCCCCTTTTTGATTTGCAGAGGGTATGTGTACTTCTCAGCCTAGAGGCGGGGAGGGAAGGAAAGCACCTCCCATGGGGAATGGTCACACCACAATCCACTGTCTTCCGTTTCTCCTTCTTTTGGGGATTTTGTCCAGCATGTTTTTCTCAGCTGTCAGGTCCAGGACTTGAATTGCTGGTCATCCATGTGGGATCCAGTGGCCTTAACCACAGGACACAAGCTGACCTAAGAAGTTAATTTTTGCCTGGACCAATTAACTTTATTCTGCTTGGCTTTAAACTCTGTTCCATATTTTTTGGAAGTCTGGGCTACTGGTTATTGTGTGTTTTCTTGGCCTTTTTGGAAGAGTAGTAGGGTGGAACTCGTAGTTACTTTAGCATTCATCTATAATTTTGAGACTAGAACTCATGATCGGATATGTTACATGCATTAAAGAGCAAATTTAGGGAACATATTTTATCTGTGGTGATGGGTACTTTTTTCAGGTACATAAACAATCTGTATGAATCAATATTTGTCTTCATTTACTTTTCCAAGTCCTGAAAACTTGTCTTAAAGTAGTTCTGTAACTTTGTTCCCCCTTTTTGGAAGAAGTTTACCTTTGAAATCGTTATTGTCTTCATACTTGGATTAGTTATGGAAGAGAAAATTGTTATTTTGGTGAATGAAACTTTTTTAGCATCTCTGACATCTTTGTGATTTGGGGATTTCAGGGTTGTCAGAAAAGTCATGATATTTTTCTATGTTTTTCTATGCAAAAATTAGTCATGGTTTTCAGATGACCCAGTAATCTATTTTTCCAGTTCTACTCTTAGACTGTTTTTTAAGTTTTCTTCAGCAACAAAAACATTTCTTCTCTCTCTGTTTTCAGTGCTACGTAGTTCTGAGGGAACAACAGAATGATACTGTCATAAGCTTGCTGTGACACCCATTCACATGTCTTACTTACCAGGAGTTAGAGTGATGGGTGACTCTGAGGGGAGCTTCTGGTGAACTGAGATTGCCATTTCCTTCCCTCCTAGAAGACCCTGGTCTTACCCTGGGCGTTCTGTTTCTCCGCCTAGGCAGAGTAGGCGCCACCTAGTGGTCCCAATAAGACGTGCCAAGTGGTTTCCCCAACAGCCCTGAAATGAAACTGTTGTTGCCTTAAACTTGCAGGAAATAGCAGTCTTAATTTTTAGCAGTTTGAATATTTTATCAGAGAAGTTCAGATTAGCTATAGAAAAAATACTGACACATTGTTCATATATATAAATTATACGTTGGACAAATTTCAGTTTCTGCAAACTTGTCTTAAAGTACTTCTGTAACTTTGTTCCCCCTTTTTGGAAGAAGTTTACCTTGAAATTATTATTGTCTTCATACTTGGATTAGTTATGGAAGAGAGGATCGTTATTTTGGTGAATGAAACTTTTTTAGGGTCTCTGATACCTTTGTGATTTGGGGATTTCTTTAGGTTACTTGTTGTCAAAGCGTGAAGGCCAAGCAGGGTCTCCGGAGAAGCCGCTGTCCGATCTAGGGCGCCTTTCCTACATGGCTTACTGGAAAAGTGTCATACTGGAGTGCCTTTATCACCAAAATGACAAACAGATCAGCATTAAGAAGTTAAGCAAGCTGACTGGAATCTGCCCGCAGGACATAACTTCTACACTCCACCACCTACGGATGCTGGACTTCCGCAGTGACCAGTGAGTGTCACAGCCCTTTGATACCTTCGACAGGGAAGCAGGTCCAGGCTGTTGGGTCAGGCAGCCCAGTGAGTGACGGAAGAGCATCGGCGACGGTGCTTAGGGGTCAGCTTATTTTCTATGATACTTGATTCTGTTGAACATGTAGGTATATTTTTAACCATTTTTCTGCTCTTCCTCCTGACTTTTCGGACCTAAATTACTACATCTTTTATCGTTTAGTGTTGGGAGCTCTCTCCTCTCACAGGAAGTACTAGCAATAGAAACTGCCATGAAGGGAAATGTGCCCACGACCAGGGTCCGTATAAATGGCACAGAGTGAAAGGAAAGACAGGAAGAGTCACAGAGAAAGGAGGCATGGAGCTAACGGACGGAGAGCAGGTGGGGTGCAGGGAAGGGGCAGCGACTCCAGGGCAGACTGTAAGGCAGTAGTGGCCGAAACGCCGAAAGCCGTCGCTGCAGGAACATGTGAGGGATGTGTCCGACTTCACCGTAGACGGCTCCTCTGGGGCACATTTCCCTACTTCACCACTCAGGAAGACCATTTTCTGAAACATTCTAAATCCGCTGTGGGTTCCCGGGGGTTATGTCTCCATATTTTATAGGTATCTTGTACACTGTTGATTGCTATAAACTTTTCTCTGGTTCCAGATTTGTGATTATCCGCCGGGAAAAACTGATCCAGGACCACATGGCAAAGCTTCAGCTGAATTTGCGGCCTGTGGATGTGGACCCAGAGTGTCTACGCTGGACTCCTGTCATCGTGTCCAACTCTGTGGTCTCGGAAGAGGAGGAAGAGGCTGAGGACGGAGAGAACGAAGAGCCGCAGTGCCAGGAAAGGGAGCTAGAGGCCAGTGTAAGGGTGTCAGCAGTCTCTGAGTCTCTGAGTCTCTGAGGAGGAGGAAGCAATAGTGTACTTTCGGTTTTCACGAGTACTTGTGATCCATATTACGGTATTGCCAACAAAGTGAACTCATGTTGGATTTCAGTGGTAGAAGTTTCAGGAAGACGAGGTCTTACTTACACATGTGTGTTTGTAAACCTCGGGCCGTTCAGAGACCATGGGATTTGTTTCCGACACATTAGGTGCGATATATACTCGTGACTAGTTCTTACCGGAAAGCCAGTAGGCAGCTACATTTTAGCTACTACTCCTGCTTCTGTGCAGTAGTTAAGGATTTGAATTGAATCTAAATCTAAATCTGACAGTTATTAAAAATGAAATGAAGATACATTTTCCTTAAAATAGAACATTCAAGGAATAATGTAAATGTGCATGTTTTCTAGTTTAGACTACAAATTTCAATGGGCACAGACTCTTTTTAGCCATGGGAAGGTTGATGAATTGCACTACATTATATAATGTTCAATATTTTTCTTCATGTGATGCATGCTTTTATCAGCTAATGCAGTACTTACCAGCCTTTAAAAAATATGTGTCCTCCTTTGACAAACATTAAAAAAAAAAAAGCAACTCATACCACTCTTTAGTGCAACTAAATTTTTAAAAGAAATGAAATATTCATAATAAAATAATATGAATTTTCTTTTCATATTTTTCAAATACCTCCTATCTTTTACCCAGCTCCAGAAGCCTATCTTTTCCCTGTTTAAAAATTTTTGTTTTAGGGGATCAGCAGTTAGCATAATGGCTGTGTCGCTGGACTCCCACGTAGTTGACCGCGGTTCGAGTCCCGGACCCGGTGGCTTAAACTCACGCCGGGCGTGTGTGCGTGGGTGCCCAAGATCCCAAGAGGAGAATGGAGGAGAAGGGATTGTGGCGTGGCCATCCCCTCTGGGGGGTGATTTCTCGCTTTCTCTCTCTCTGTCTGTCTGGCGAGTGCACGCGCCCTATAGTGAAAAACCTCTCAAAAAAAAAAATTGTTTTAGAGAAATTTCATAGCCGGTCTCACTCAGCATGAGAACAGTAGCACTCTGCGTTGATGCGGTGCCCCACGGTGATCACAAGCAGGACTCTGAGGAAGGCTGCCTGGCTGGCTGTGCGACCTCAGCTTCTCTACTTGCTATTGCATGACCTGGGGCAGGGTACTTTTTTTCTTTCTTTTTTTCTCTCTTTCTTTTTTTTCTTTTTTTTTTTTAAACAACTTTTACTATAGGATACGTACACTGACCAGAGACAGAGAGGGGAGACAGTGAGAGGGGAAGTGAGAAGTCACCTCTTAGGGGGGATGGCCACACCACAATTCCTTCTCCTCCATTCTCCACTTAGGTATCTGGGCACACATGCGCACATGCCCAGCACGATTTTCAGGCCACCAGGCCCATGACTCAAACCGTAGTCAGCCATGTGGGAGCCCAGTACCTTAAAACTGTACACCTGCTGACCCTGGAGCAGGTTACTTACATTTTCTTTGTACCTCATTTGTAGTGACAAAACTTCATACACTTATTATGAGTATTAGTGAAAAATATATTGGGTCGTCAGAAAAGTCATGACATATTTTTCTATGAAAAAATGCATCATGGGAACCAGCAGTTAGCGTAATGGCTATGTCGCTGGACTCTCACATAGTCGACCGTGGTTCGCGTCCCAGACCCAGTGGCTTAAAACTCATGTCGGACGCGTGTGCTTGTGTGCCCGAGATCCCGAGAGGAGAAGGGATTGCGGCGTGACCATCCCCTCTGGGGGGTGATTTCTCGCTTTCTGTCTCTATGTCTCTGTCTGTCTGTCTGGCGAGTGCACGCTCCCTATAACGAAAACCTCTCAAAAAAAAAAAAATGCATCATGATTTTCAGATGACCCAATATATATAAAGTATTTATAAATGTCTAATACATGGGAAACATATTAGTTACTAAATAATCCTTTCTTTTTTAAAGCTGTTTTCTTATCTTAATATTTAAAAGAATAGGTAGATAGAACCAGCCAAGAGTGAAAAATTAACCAGCATTGTTTTGTTTACTAAAATCAGGTTCCATCCATGTCTCGGGAGAGCAAAGAACAAGATTCTTATTCTTCAGTAGAAAGTGAAAAGAAACCAGAAGTTCTGGCTCCGGCCAGTTCTACACGCTTGAATAAACAAGTCCTTCCCCGCGATAGTCTCCCTGCAAATAGTCAGCCATCACGGCGGGGGCGCTGCGGGAGGAAAAACAGAAAAGCCCAGGAACGTTTTGGTGACAAAGATTCCAAACTCCTCTTGGACGAGACATCATCCACTCCTCAGGAGCAGTATGGGGAATGCGAGGAGAAGTCAGAGGCTTCCCAGGAACAGTTCACTGAAAGTGAAGAACAGTTGGTGGCCCCCGTGGAGCAGCCAGGCCAGGATGGGAAGCCAGACCTGCCCAGGAGAAGACTGAGCGAGGGGGTGGAGCTGTGGCGGGGACAGCTGAAGAAGAGCCCCGAGGGTCCGAAGTGCAGGTTACCAGAAGGGAATGACAGACTGCCCCGACGGTACAGTGACGGCGATAGGGCTCTCCTCAGGGGCTTCAGTGAGAGCAGCGAGGAGGAGGAAGAGCCCGAAAGCCCTCGGTCGAGCTCGCCACCCATTCTCACAAAACCCACGTTGAAGCGAAAGGTAGCCCGCCCTTCGTGTGGCCGCTCCACCCCAGTTGCAGCAGCCTGTCCACTGCCCTGTCCTACGGTTGTGAAAGGGACGTTAGGCATTCCTAGGGTGCCGTGTTTTAAACGTTCAGCCTCGCCAAGTCATCACTTAAGATCTTCCCAGGGTGCACGTGAAAGGTGTATCTGACTGCTTTGGTGCTTAGGGATTAACTTAGAAGTCGTAAGCTGACTTAAGGGCTGACAAACTTATTTTTCAATTTACTAGTTTGATGTTCAAATCAAGACTTCCAGGGACTCGAGAAATACTTTAAAAGTCTATACAGATCATGAGTGTTTATATTAGAAAAGGAAACCAAAGTATTCCATAGTTGGATGGGAGTGAGTGTGTAGGGCCCCTAAATTTGGAGCATTCAGAGTAAAGTCATCCTGGGTCAGGCTGTTTCTGCCGTGCTCTCCCCCCTCCTCCATCTCTCCGTCACTCAGGGTTTGACTTCATCTTGCCTTAAAACTATTTCCCGAACTACCCTCATGTTGCAGCTTATATGGTAGCCAACTGGTGAGGCAGTGGTGTGTGAGGGTGGTAATGAACTCGGCCACACTGCAGGCACCTGCAGTTCTCCGGCTGCGGAGTGAGCTGTAAACATTGCCTCGTGCCAGCAACTGCAGCAGCTCAGCCCCCCGGGGAGCCCCACTCTGCAGCAGTGGGTGATGGCTCCATCCAGATTAGTGGGATCATTCCTTCCCTTAGCAGCGCTATTAAAAAGGAAGGGCCAGGGCCAGCAGATGGTGTAGCGGTTAAGTTGCTGGCCTTCCACATGGCTGACCATGGTTTGAGTCCTGGATCTGGTGGCTTCAAAACCACACTGGTGTGTGTGTATGCTTGTGTGTGTGTGCATGTGCACATGTGCCCAAGATCTCAGAAGGAAAAGGGATTGTGGGTGGCCATCCCTGCTGAGGGTTGATTTCTCATTTTCCTTCTCAGTGTCTCAGTCTGGTGAGCACATGCGCCCTAAGGCAAAAACCTCTTTAAAAACGTCAGGGCCATTCTTCAGAAAATGAGGTATTAAGAGTGGTTTTAGATGGACAGGATCACCCCAAAGAATAACAGAGTGCGCCTGTGCGCCATGCAGTGTCCACCGTCACTGAGCTTCCCATTGGTGGGGACCTCGATCACAGCCGGAAAACCAGGCGGATGCCGAAATGGCTGATCCGTGCTTTCTGCAGCTTTCTGCAGCTTTCCCGTTCCAGGATCCGGTCTGGCAGCTCAGGTGGTATTCACAGTCGTGTGTCATTAGGTTCCTCTTGATGGTGACAGTTTCACAGCCCTTTCTTGCTTTTGTTGGTCTTGACAATTTGGGGACTTACCAGTCAGGTATTTTTTTAGGATATCTTTCATGATACTAGAATGAGGCAATGTGTTTTTGAGAGAAAGACTGCAGAGATGAAGTCCAGTTCTCATCGTAGAAAGGGTGTCTGCCAACATGTGGGAAGTAGAGGGGCACCCTCTGTGGAGATGCGTCTCCGCTGTGGGTGATGACCCCGACCACCCAGCTCCCGGCACTGTTCATCAGCGTTCTCCACGGCCCGGCTCCACCCTGTCCTACAGGAAGGTCACTGCGAAGTGCATTCTTCCGACACAGGGAGCTGTGCTCTGCCTCCCAACAGGGTGTTTGCAGAAATCATTGTCCTTCTTAGGACATTTCTTCATCTCCCACATCCATTTATTTACACAAGCATTTACTTGTATCAGCATGGGCTCCTAGACGTTAATACTTCAGTTTATAACCCATACTACTGCTTTAAAATTGTCCGTCTTGGCCATGAGCAGCTCTGCCAGTCCTCTGACCCTTAGACACACGCGCCTTCATCATTGTGGGCTTTTTATCCGTCTGCCGTGTCTCGAGCACGTCTGACTTCGTGGCACTGCAAGATGTTCCGGGTGCACCTGGTACATTTCCTGTCCCAGTCCTGGAAGGAGCTCTTCTCCGAGGAGCAGGGCCATTTTTAATCTACTTTGGAAATTATATTCTCAATTAGAAGGACTAGTAAATTTGAAGTAGAGAAAGTCTGAACATCGACTAACTCTGCTATTCATTGCATCATCATGAAAAAGATATCTACCATCCTGGGGCTTAGAGTGCCTGTTTGTAAAGTTTATAAAAAGAAAAAAAAGCTATTTCCTTGTATTAAAAAAAGAATATTGTAACAGGCAGTGAGCTCATATGCAAAGTAGTTTTGGAGTTACGAAGAAATTCACTTGATTGCAGCCAGTTCCGTACCAGCTAGATATGTGACCTTAGCAAGCCCTGTAACCTTTTGGCTTCTGTAGGTTAAGGGGATTGGATTATACCATCTCTGGGGCATCATTTCTATTATTGGCTCATTGGAAAAGTCATGGTGTATTCTTTGTGTGTCTCTGTGCAAAAATGCATCGTGACAGGACCAGCAGATAGTGTAATGGTTACATTGCTGGACTCCCATGTAGTCAACCACGGTTCAAGTCCCAGGCCTGGCAGCTTAAACTCACACCAGGCACACGTACATGTGTACCCAAAATCCCAGCAGGAGAGTAGAAGAGAAGGGATTGCAGTGTGGCCATCCTCGCTCGGGGGTGGTCTCTTGCTTTCTGTCTCTTGGGGGAGTGCACACGCCCTATAGCAAAAATCTCTCTTTTAAAAAAAAATGCATCATGACTTTTCTGATGACCCACTATTTAGTGATGTTAGCTATGTAATTTAAGATATTAGTTCAACCCAGTGTATACTTGTCAAATTCCAATGTCAACCCTGTGTCAAATTCCAATAACAGATTTATTTTGCTTTTGAAATGTTTCACTAACACCAAGTAAATATGTTATTTTTTTACATTCCACTATACATTTTTATGAATGGGCTCATGAAAATCAAATACAACTTTTCAAGAGTTCTGCTGACCTTCAGAGAGGTGCTACGAGGCGAAGTGTGTCTCCTTTTTCTTCTAAGGAAAAGTTGAGGGATGAGCTGTGGGTCCTTCCAGCATTGAAATGGGCAACTCCCCAGGGCACTGGACTTACCAGAACTGTTAATCAATACTCGTGTCATCTGCTCTTCCGGCAGGCCTGCCTCCTCAGTTTTCCTACACCTTTGTGTCCGTAACCTTATGTGTAGTATTTTACTACAGTATTTAGAAATCATGCTCAAAATGTCTTCTGGTATACAGAGTCCTCATTTTATTTTATGTTTTTATTTTTTAATGGCCAGATGGTATATGCTTCTGCTAGAGAAAGACACTCAGAGAGGGAGAGAGAGGAGAGGCGTCCACCAAAGGGCGTGGGTGTGCCATAAGCCCGTGTCCTTCGCTCTGTCCTGGGATTTGGGGCACACAGGCACATGTGCCCAGGGGCCAGATTTTAGACTGCAGCCAGCCACGCGAGGTCCAGTTACCTTCACCACGAGGCATGGGGCCAGCCCACATCCTCACTTTATGCATACGAATTCTGTTAGGTTTTAAACCTTTTTTCCTGTTATTAGTGGAATAGATAGTGTTCGTTGCTGTAAATAAATGACTTGCTTTCTCTATTAAACAGAAACCAATTCTTCACAGAAGGAGGAGAGTCCGGAAGCGCAAACACCACAATAGCAGTGTGGTCACAGAAACGATCTCCGAGACCACCGAGGTCTTAGATGAACCTTTTGAAGACTCTGACTCGGAGAGGCCAATGCCGAGATTAGAACCCACATTTGAGATTGATGAAGAAGAAGAGGAAGAGGATGAAAACGAGCTCTTTCCGAGAAGATACTTCCCTTTGCCATCACAGGATGTTCTCAGGTGCCGGTCGTCCTCTAAGAGGAAGTCTAAAGATGAGGAGGAAGATGAGGAGTCGGATGACGCCGACGGTATGTGTGTCTCCCAGAACTACCACCTACTGCTGTGCTGTGGCCTCTAGAGACCCACAGAGGTCACCGCTCAGCCTCCGACCAAAAAGCTGAAAGATGAGCTAACCTCTGAGCAAGACGAGGGCGTGCAGCCGAGGGCACGCTGTCGAGCGTATCTAGCCTCGGGTCCTCATTTAGTTTCCCCATCAGCTCAGAGCCTGTCTTTGTCACTGCAGAAAATGTCTTACTGTTGAGATCCAGTCTCGGCCATTATCCGAATCATTCCTTAGAGTCAGCCGGGTGGTGTCTTCTTGTGAGCGGGCACTCCCCGTACATGGCCTGCTGGCTCACTGCGGCTGCCCAGGACGGGCACACTCTAAGTGGGAACTCGCTCCAGGCCTCCCGAGAGGTCTCATGGAGTCACATCTCTAACGTGTCTTACCCACCGAGTGGAGAATGTCTAGTAAATCATAGCAGCTGTTCAAAATAAGTTATGTTTTATGGTGTTAGATAAAAATCCAATGATTTACTTTTAAAATACCTGTCATCATCTCATTTTTAGAGCTACAGAAATCAGCTCTCATATATTAGGGGCTTCAGAAAGTTTGTGGGAAAATGAAGTTCAGTATGAGCTTATTTTGGTGCAAAAAGAATAAAGTCCATGCATAGTGTTTTCATAATGCATGCTTTCCAGGAACTTACTGAAGACCCCGTGTACGGTCCGGGTCAGCACTGGTCTGACCCCGCCTGCAGCGTTTGCCAGTGCGGCCAGGCAGTGCACGTCTGCAGCATGCTTGCCTTGCAGGGGCTCGCAGTGAGCCTTTTTACTTGCTGGGTGAACTGGAAGAAATCTAATTATCCTTATTATATAAAACTTTAGCTTTTATGCATTAACTAGTTGAGTTTTAAATTCTACTTTGGAAAAAAATCTGCTTTGTTTTGGATATCATTGATAACATTTTTCCTTTCTTATTTTTATTTAACAGATAGTTCAATGCAATAATAAGATGGTAGAATTATTTGCCTTACTGTGAATGGTTCTCCAGAGTTTTACCCATGTTATGTTTTGAGATAGATAACTAGGAAACTAAAATTTTTGTTTTGTAGATTTGGTACTTTACGCTCTGCCTTGGATTATTTTACACTAATGTAGTATCCTCTTTTTTATTTTTAAAATTTTTGCCAGTGGGAGTATGTACTTTCTAGAGAGAGAGAGAGAGAGAGAGAGCGCGCGTGTGAAAGCTCCCACCAGTGGTGCGTGGTCGTGAATAATCTCTTCTCCATTATTCCATCCTGTCAGGATTTGGGATGCTCACACACATGTGTTTGTTGTGTTTTTCAAACTCCCAGAGCCAGGACTCAACCCATGTGGTCAGCCTTGTGGGATTCAGCTCCTGTAGCCAGTGGGCCACGAGATCAGCCCAGCATCCCCTTTGAAGCTGCTGTAGACGTGGGCAGGTTTTCCTCGGTGCAGCCATTTCCTTTGCTTACGTCAAGCCAGACTGTAACTGAGCCTCCTCAGCTTTCCCTCTCGGGTCCTGCTCTTTTTGGTGCATTTACCCTTTAGAAATTGCTGGGGAATGTGAGTGTGCCGAATGCCACTGTGCTTCACACCTCATTCTACTTTTACTTTAGTTAGGCTTATCCTTCAGATGATTAACTTTAAAATGAAGATAATCGGGAGTTAGTTAATAAAAGTGAAGATAATGAAGTCATTTCTGTTGTACATGCTGGTCTCAGGAAAAGGCACTCTATTTATTTATGATGATAGAGAGGAGCACCCTTGACATACACCGTGGCTCCCTTTCCCTAGCCCCATCTCTCCAGGATCCTGGACACCCTGGGGGTGCATGCATGACCACCATGCCACAGAGGCTGAGCCAGCTGCATTTGGTCACAGTTAGGAGGAGATGGCGTTAATGTCAGATTAACGTCTAACAAGCTTCGCTGCCTCTACTTGTTCCTGTCTGGGACTAAATGCCTTGCAGCGGTCCCTATATGAGCACAATGCTGACCGAGCAGTTGTTCACGTAGGATGACTCAGTTGAGGCCTGGGTCACTGGCTCGTGATCCTGCCAGAACCAGTGGTTTTGTGAAAATTGAGAAAACCAGAGAGATGACATAAATCACAAATAGGGTTAGGAAAAAAAAGAAAAGAAAAAGAAAGTAAGTGGACTTGTGACTTGCACAATAAAGACAACTTGATAAAAATACTACTACTTATGGGCCAGCAGATGGCATGATGGTTAAGTCTCTGGATTTGCCCACGGCAGACCATGGTTCGAGTCCTGGACCTAGCAGCTGGAAAACCATGCCAGGCAAATGTGTGTCCATGCCCAAAATCCCAAGAGGATAAAGGAGGAGAAGAGATTGCAGCCTGGCCTGGGAGTGATTTCTCACTCCCACTGTCGCTGTCTCTCTCTAGTGAGCTCATGTGCTGTAAGAAACAAACAACTCCTTCTTTGCATGTCTGTAAAGCCCGCGTTCACTTTATAGCTCCTGCAGCTGAGACCCAGAGTAGCTGCCTTAAAGCTGTTCTGCTCACCACAATGAACCCGAGCCGGTTCTAGCTGGGAGACGGAGCGTTAGGTTGGCCAGGGTTCTTTCCTCGTTCTGCCAGTTCACTCTGTGACATTAATTCGATTTACCCCATAGATTAGTAACCGTAAAATGAAGATAACCAGGAGTCAGTTAATAAAAGTGATGGTTAGTGAAGTCATTTCTGCTGTACATACCGATCTCAGGAAAAAGCACTTCTCTAGAGAAAGTACGACGTCTCATAACCTGTCTTTGTCATTTTTCTGTCCTTCCCGTACAGACACTCCTATCCTAAAGCCAGTGTCTCTCTTGCGAAAATGTGATATGAAGAATTCCTCACTTGAGCCAGATACTTCCACACCCATGAAAAAGAAAAAGGGGTGGCCCAAGGGCAAGAGCCGCAAACCAGTCCACTGGAAGAAAAGACCCGGGCGGAAGCCAGGATTTAAGCTGAATCGGGAAATCATGCCTGTTTCTACTCCAGAATGCATCTCTGAGCCCATCGTCCCCATTCCTAAGGCTGGACGCAAACCCAGAATTCAAGAGAATGAAGAAACTGTTGAATCAAAAGAAGACTTGCCTTTATCCGAAGAAAGGAAGGAAGAGATGCATGTGGAAGCAGAAGAGGCTGAAGAGGGCGAAGAAGAGGACACAGCTGGCAGTGAGGTCAGAGCAGCTTCCCCCGTGGACAGCAGCAACAGCCCTGAGCCGGAGCCCAAGGAGCCGGAGGTGGAGGTGGAGGAGGAGGAGGAGGAGAAGCCCCGCCTTGCAGAGGAGCAGAGGCAGTCGGAGGAGGAGCAGCCAGAGCTGGAAGAGCAGGAGCCAGAGGAGGAAGATGAGGCCACTGTGGAGACAAGCCAGAATGACGACCATGACGCAGACGATGAGGACGACGGCCAGCTGGGGTCTGCGAGGAAGAAGGAGCTCGAGGAGCAGCCTGCCAGAGAAGACGCCAAGGACGAGCCCGGTGGCCAGGAGGCTTTTTTAGACGCGGACACACAGAACAGTAGGGAGACCGCAAAGGACAAAGACGACACAGAGCCGGAGTCTGAGGAGGAGCAGCCTTCCCACGAGACGTCCGTGGTGTCCGAGCACATGCCAGGATCTGAAGATGATCACGAAGAGGATTCGAACACGAAGGAAGAGCTGATAGAATTAAAAGAGGAGGAAGAGATTCCCCACAGCGAGCTGGACCTGGAGACCGTGCAGGCAGTGCAGTCCCTGACGCAGGAGGAGAGCAACGAGCACGAGGGCGCCTACCAGGACTGTGAAGAGACGCTGGCCGCCTGTCAGACCCTGCAGAGCTACACGCAGGCTGACGAGGACCCTCCCATGTCCATGGTCGAAGACTGCCAGGCTTCGGAACACAACAGCCCCATCTCCTCTGTCCAGTCTCATCCCAGCCAGTCGGTCCGTTCGGTCAGCAGTCCCAACGTGCCTGCCCTGGAGAGCGGTTACACCCAGATCAGCCCGGAGCAGGGTTCCCTGTCCGCGCCCTCTATGCAGAACATGGAGACCAGCCCCATGATGGATGTGCCTTCCGTATCAGACCACTCTCAGCAGGTGGTGGACAGTGGCTTCAGCGACCTGGGCAGCATCGAGAGCACCACAGAGAACTACGAGAACCCGAGCAGCTACGACTCCACCATGGGCGGCAGGCTTTTGG